GGGGGGGGGGGACTGGTATGGCTGGTGGGGGGGGGGGACTGGTATGGCTGGTATGGCTGGTGGAGGGGAGGGGACTGGTATGGCTGGTGGAGGGGAGGGGGGACTGGTATGGCTGCTGGCTGGCAGGTTGGGTGGCGTGACGAGGGTGCTGGGGATGACGGGCATACTCATGCAATTGTGTGGATTGGGTGCGGAACGAACGGGTTGGTTTGGATCTGGGGGGGGGGGGGGGGGGTCTTTTGTCATCGTCATCGTCGGTGCTGGGGTGGTGGTGGTCGGTGGTCGGTCGACGAATACAGGTCAAGGATCCGGAGGGTGTGGTTGTGGTCGACGAGACCAAGAAGTCAGAGGGCTCGTACGCATTCCGCGCTGCGGTTGATGGCACGTACTCAGTCTGCTTCTCCAACCGCATGTCGACTATCACCGCCAAGTCGGTCTCGCTTGCCCTCATTGCTGGCAAGACGGCCGATACCTCGGAGGTTGCCAAGCTGGAGCACCTCACGCCCCTGGAGAACTCCATCCTGGAGCTCTCCACTCTTCTCACCTCAATCCAGGAGGAGCAGCGGTATCTCAAGAACCGCGAGGCCATCCACCGCGACCTCGCCGAGGACCTCTTTGAGCGCGTCCACTGGTGGGCCATCTTCGAGACCATCGTCCTGGTCGCCATGTCCATCGGTCAGGTCGTCTACATCCGCAAGGTCGTCGGCGGCAAGTAGATGCCGCTCGCCAAAGAGTGAGATAAACTCAGCGCAGCAGACGACGCCCCTGCCCCCTTCCGCGCGCTGGCGCTACTGACCGTGATCTTTGCTCAAGACAGCCCAAGAAAACATCCACGAGCAGAGACAGAGTAGTCCAACAGATAGCATCCTTACGCAGCAGCTGCTTATGGTGCTGGCAGCTGCATGCGGCTTTAATCTTGACGCACGCAGGTAGCTGCCCGCAGCTCAAATCGAGATCTCGCAAGATCAATGAGCACTCGAAAAGGAGCTGACGGCCGACCCAGACAGACGGGTATGTTTACTATGTCACCATCTTTGGGCTGTGGAAAGTTGCCTCTACACTCTAAGCATGCGGAGAGGAATTGAGGCGGCTGATCGCTGTCTACAAGCCTAGTGTCTGATATGCATAGTGTTGGAGCTGTCGATGAGGGTGGGGAGGATGATATATACAATACACAACTACAACTTGGTTTTGAAAAGGTGAGGACCTGCTGGAGATCAGGGCGGGAGAAGTTCTGGATGTGGTCGACAGGGTGGACTGGGCCACGCTGGTCGTCTTGGCGCACGCCCGAGTCCGTGACAAGCTGCGACTCGGCGAGGAGGTGGAGGAGGTTGTCGTCGGCGTAGCGGATGATGACCTCGACAGTGTCTACAAGGGCGGCCGATGGCATGTCCAGAACAGCCTCGATGCCCGGAACGCCGCCGGCGCTGATGACGTAGACGGCGGCGGCGGCCATGAGCGAGGCCGGGACAATCGCGGTGACGCGCAGATCGAGGATGACGGCGTCGACGGCGGCCATGGCGGCACGGAAGCCTGCGCTGCGGTCCTGCAGCAGTCGCGAGGTGAGGCCGTGCTGGGCGCGGCGGCGGTGACAAGGTCGAGGTAGATTGCGACAAAGGCCGGGACTGTGGGCGGGTGCAGCTCCCAACGCAGGGTGGCGAGCAGCGCCCGCTCGGCGCCGCGGATCTCGTCCTCCGAGTACGCGCGGTCGGTGACGTCAGCAAGCTCAGAGACGGTCGGCGGATAGACCTCCTCGAGCTTTGCGGCGATGAACAGGGCCGTGACGCCGATGAGCTGGAGCTTGTTGCGCGGAACGTTGCGGGCGGCGGCGAGGTAGTTGTCAAAGAGAGTGATGGCGAGGTGGCAGGTGCCTGGGGTGAGCCGATACTCGGCCGAGACCTCCATCAGCCACGAGACCACAATAGCGCGCATCTTGCAGTTGAGACGGACATGGCGACTGGTCAGCCGCGACGGCGTCAGCTGCCTGCGCCGCATGGCCGAGTACTTGCGCTCAGCTGCGAGCAGAGCCGCCAGCGCCTCTCGACCGTACCGTCCATCAAACGACGGCATTTCCCGACGACCAGCGACAGCAGCAGGTGTGTCAGCGACAGGCGTCTCGGACTTGTTGTTGTTGTTGTTGTTGTTGTTGACGTTGTTGACGTTGTTGACGTTGTTGTTGTTGATGATGTTGAGCTCGTTGTTTCTACGATCCTCCATGGCAGCGAGTCGGACTGCAACAGCTCTGGCTGTGAGGACCTCCATAGAAGGCATGCTTCCAGACGTTGTGTCCTTTGTTGTCGTGCTTGTGCTTCTGCCACTCGAGGCAGTGGTGGATGGTTGCAGAGGTGCGGCTCCTTGGCGCCTCGAGCTCGTCTCGGCAGACTTTGAATCTACCCTCCGGACCACCCCACCCCCTGTCCGGCGGCTGGTATGGGCAAGGTGCGGTGGGTTCTCTTCCAAAGGCGCTTCTTCTGTTGTACTCTTGCTGTTGTACATGCCCACAGACTGCACAGGCGATACCTGCATAAGGTGCGCCATGCTCGCCGCTTTGCTCTCCTGCTGCTTTGCGTCGAGTGGTGTTCCCCGCGTGGTCGGCGGTGGTAGATTCTGGCCTTTTTGGCGCCGTCCTTCCCGCCAAAATTCTACCCGAGCCGGCTCGCCCAAACTGTGCATCGCCTCACCGCTCGACTCGTCGAACGAGAGCCTCCAGCTCGGCCCGAACCATCCAAGACGATTCCTCGGCAAGTTGCTCAACGTCTCGACGCCTCGATCTCTCGGCCTCTCGAACTCTCGAGCCAGTGTAGGTGTGGGTGCGAGGAAGAGACTCGGGATCCGGGGTCTTGTCGGCCTCTCGCACTGAGCCCCTCCATCAATGGATTCTGTATTGTTGCACGAGTCCTTGGGCAAAGCTCGTAGCCTAGACGAGCTTGTCATGGGGCTGATGCAGTTGGCGACCGATGCGGCGGCGGGTGGCTGATGCAGCCGATGGGACGGCAGCTCGGTCGAAGCGGGAAGGCGGGCCGCGCGGCCAGGCGCCGCAGACTCGGCCGGCGATGGCAAGCGGGCCAGCGGGCAAGCGGGCAAGCGGGCAAGCGGGCAAGCGGGCAAGCGGGCAAACGGGTAGGCGGCTACTTGGGCGGGTTGTCGACCCAGTGAGCCAGGACCTGGTTGTGGCGCCACTCGATGATGCGCTGGCGGAGCTCCGAGTCCGACTCGAGCTCGTCCGAGGCAGGCATGGACGGCTTGTTGGGCATGGTGTCGTGGAAGCGGAGGTAGAGCTTGATGCACGAGCGCTCATAGACGATGCCATCGATGGCCTTGACCGGATCGATGAGAAGGTCTTTGGAGAGCGGGCCAAGGAACTCGGCTGGAGGCTTGGTGTTGTTGGCGCCAGCCACATCGCGCCAAGCCTGGTTCTCCATCCGGAGCGCCTCCTGGACCCGCTCCAGCCGAGTCTCGAACCCCACGTTGTCCAGCTCCTCTGCCATACTTGCGTTCCTGGGCCAGAGGGGGGCACGTCGTCGCGTCGAGTGTCCCAACCCGTGGCTCTGCCTGCTTCCTTATCTAGGCATGCGGGTCACGGTTGGCGCCAATAGCCGTCTCGTCCAATACAATGTAGCGTTCAAGTATGCCAGTTTGCTTGTCACTTCCAAGCTTCGCTGGTTCCGTAGCTCAATCGGAAGAGCATGTGCTTCACACGTACAAGGTAGCCAGATCGAAACTGGCCGGAACCTCATTTTTTTTCAAGCAAGCTCATATATCGGTCCCGTAGCTCAATTGGAAGAGCATGTGCTTCACACGTACAAGGTAGCCAGATCGAAACTGGCCGGGACCTTTCCTTATAATTTTTTTGCCTCTGCGACGTCCCTCCCCATCCTCCCCTTCTTCCTCTACATCCTCTTCTGATTCGTACGTGCGTGTGCTGGTAGTGTCTGATGTGACGATTGTGGCATGAAAGTCTGTGGTTTTGTCGATGAGTGGCGGTCGACGTGGCGATTTGGGCCAACCGCTCTCCACTCCGCCACTCGGCGGACGAGTATGATTACGAGCACGAGCAGCACACTCGACTCACTCAAAGGCAGTTCGCGGCATGGAGGGGGGACACCATGGCGGGTTCGACCACTTGGGTATGGGTGGAGAGAGCCACGGGCACGGACAGAGCCACGGGCAGAGCCACGGGCACGGGCATGGACACGGCGGCGAGTGCGAGAGAGACGGAGACGGACGTGCCCATGGACACGGTCATAGCCATGGAGGAGAAGATCATGGGCATAGTCACGGACAAGGGAATGGACATGGGCATGGGCATGGGCATAGCCATGGACACGACGACAACCATCATGGACACAGCCACGGCCACGGAGGCGGACACGACCACGGAGGCGGACACGATCATCATGGTCACTCACATTCTGGTGGTGGCAGTGGAACAGCGTCCTCCAACGGCATGTCGCTGGCGTCGGCATTGGCGTCGAGTCGGCACCACATCCGGGTCTTGTGGAGCACGCCATCAACGCGAACACTGCTCCTCTTTGCCGTCATGGAGTTTGTCTTTCTCTGTGTGGAGCTCGTCTACGGCATGTGGGCCGAGTCGCTTGCTCTTGTCGCCGACGCTGTCCATCACACACTGGATGTCTTTGCGCTCACGGTTTCGCTCCTTGCGGCGGTTGTCTCGCGCCTCCCGCCGACCTTTGCCTACTCTTACGGCTTTGAGCGCGTCGAGGTCCTGGCCGGCTTCACTGTAGGGTCGGCCATTGCCTTTATCGGCCTCTTCCTTGTGGTCGAGGTGGTGGAGAAGGTGCTCGAGCCTACGGAGCCGTCGTCAGCACACGTCATTCCCATTGCGCTTGCCTCGCTTGCGCTCAACCTGGCGCGATGGGCGCTGATCCAGGACTACGCCTTCCTCCGGTCGGAGCGGCTGACGCCCAACGCCGCCGCGAGCTCGTCGACGCTCCTCCGGTCCGAGCTCGCGGCGCGCAATGCGGCCACGCCGCTGCCTGTCCGGCTTGCTCGCGAGAACGCCGCGTCGGTCGCGGTCATGGCTGCCGCCACCGCCGTCGAGTGGGGCTATCCCACCGCCGACGTCATTGCCGCCTCGTTTGTCATCGTTCTCCTCATCGTCACCATCCTTCCGCTCATGCGCGACACCGGGCGGGTCCTGCTGCAGGCCAAGCCGGCGTCAATCCGCGGCGTGCTGGACAAGGTCATGCGCGAGGCGTCGACGCTCGACGGGGTCCTCGAGGTCCGCCCGGACAAGTGCCACTTTTGGACGCTCTCGCCAGGCACCTTTGTGGGCAACATCTCGCTTCGCGTTCGCGAGGACGCCAACGAGCAGGTCGTTCTCCAGCATGTCCGATCCATGTTTGATCCGTTTGTCACTCATCTGACAATCCAGATCGAGAAGGACGAGTGGGGCCAGTGACTCCCATAACACCCCTGCTGCCATAGTAACCATTGGTACCGGCCGCACTACCGCTGCATCGACTGCCTGCCTGCCTGCCTGCCCGCCTCCATCTGCCGATCACGATGCTCTCACTCTCTCCCCCGTCCCTTCCCTCTCTTTAAATTTCTACGATGACATCGCCATCGCCTGGCGTCTTCCTGGGCATGGCGTGTGTCTGCTCTCGCGCGACTGGAGTCGACAACCTCAGCACGGCGGCTGTGACTGCGGCAGGCCGGCAGCAGGCAACCACGAGCACCTCACCCCGACCATGGCGGCGACAGTGGCTTGGCTCAGCAAAGCAGGGCCAGCAGACTACCTCCCACGGGAGCTCATGTTTATGATCTTCTCGTACCTTCCGGGCACACACCTCGCAAAGGCGGCACAGGTCTGTTCAACTTGGCAGAGTCTGGCATACGACCCGCTGCTCTGGCGCCGGCTGCTGATGGCTGCTGCGGCTCCGGTGGTACTCGCGCCCAATCCATCGCCTCGAAAGGCGTTTATCACTCTGTTTCGTACTCGCAGGATCTGGCGCCGGAAGCTAGCTGGCGGTTCGTCACGGCCGCCACGGCCGATGGCCAAGCTCGCCGCTGCGGCCCCACCGCCGGGTTCTCAGGCCGCTCTTGCTGTGGCTGCCTCCCACGAGCCCGATCCGAACCGAGTCACACACATTGCGGCTGCTGGCGATACGCTGGTGGTTGCCACCGAGGTTCATCCGGCGCTGCGGGCGTCGGCATTGGGGTCATCGGGACCGTCGGGCTCATCGGCGTCGTCGTTCCGCCGAGATGCACCGCGGATGGTTCTCGCGGTCTATGCTGGCGGCAATGTGCGGCGGCCGGTAGCCACGGAGCTTCTACCGGTTGTCGCCGGAAGTGTGTGCGTGGCGCAAACAGCACGCGGTGCTACGGTGGTTGTTGGCTGCGGCGGCTCGATGTATGCGTACATGCTGGCGAGCGGCAAGACCGAGCTGCGCCGGATCGGCAAGCTTGTTGCGCACCTCGGGCGAATCATTGCGCTCGCTGCCAGCGCAGGGCGCGTTGCATCGGCAGGAAGTGAGGGCTCGATCAGTGTCTGGGACGCGCCACGCGGCACCATGCTCTTCCGCCACGAGATCGAGGCCGGCTTTGTGGGCCTTGTGGGGAGCAAAGTCGTTGTCGGTGAACCGTGCGCGGCGGCGATGACCGTGCTTGATGGCGAGTCTGGCGAGCTTCTTGCGCCTGCCGCCTTGCCGGACGACGCTGAAGGACGGATGGTGTCTTGGTGCTGTGTCCCGGGCGCCCCACGTGTTGCGGCTTCAACAACCCGTGGCCAAGTCGTTGTCTTTGATGTCACCGACGGCGCACCGGTCGTTGTCCACAGTGTAGCCATTGCCTCGTGGCCAGACGCGTTTTTTGTGTCGATGGCGTTTGACAGTTGCGGGCACGCCCTCATCCTGGCTGATGACACCAACGGACTGCACGTGGTGTCGACTGACGGGCGGGCGGTGCTGGGGGTCTCGACGGTGCCGGGCAAGTCATTGGCGGCGGTGGCGACTTGGCGCGGGCCCGACAGCCCAATGCTCGCGTGTGCCGGGCGCCGCGGTGTTGTTCACATCTACCGGACGTGAGCACATTGTGTTGTTTAGTTGGGCATCTGAGCCTGAGCATCAGCAAACGGATAGACGGCCTCCATCTGGTTGGCGAGACTGTCAAGAGCGAGCTGGATGTCGGCCATCAGCTCGGCGACGCGCTCGCGGCGCGGGCGGGGGTCGTCGACATCGAGCGCGAGCGGAATGGGCTCGCCTACAATGACATGGACCCGCGTGGCGGTCCACGCCGGCAGCTTCCCGATCGGCTTGACGACCTGCATGCCGCGGTGGTAGTACGGGATGACAACGAGCTTTTGGCTGTGGTCTTCAGCGGCGGCAACGGCGGTTGCAGCAGTGACTGCGATGTCTGCTGCGCCGAATCGCAGCTCGCCAAGCGGCACGTTCTGCACCACCTTGCCCTCCGGGAAGATGTGAACCCAACCGCCGCGGACAAGCACGTCTGCCGCGACCCGCAGCGAGGCCTGGCGGAGCCCGCCGCCGCGGACGACAGGCAGCGCATTGCCGAGCTGAAAGTATGCCGCCAGCAGCGATCGCTTAAAGCAAATCTCCTCTGCGCACAGCACGATCCGCATCTTGGCCGGGTCGCTCAGCACGTCGGGCGGGATCATGGCGGCGATGAGGACTGGGTCGTCGAGGACCGAGTTGTGGTTGGCAACGGAGAGCACGCCGATTGACTCGTCCCGGAGCGCGGCATGCATCGTCTCCACCGCGCCGTCCATGGTCACCTCATGTCGCCCCAGCAAGTACATCTTGGACACCGCTGCCGTGCCTGTCAGCACCACCCGCCGGCCACGGGTGTTGTACCCGCCAGCCTCGGCCGAGGGCACGTCGAGCCACGCCGCCGTCTTGAGCGCTGCTACTGCCGCCACGGCACACGCGCCTACGGCTGCCACTGCCCCCGTCACCACCCGCATCTGCTGTCCATTGAAGTCGAGTCTCCGTCATGCGAGCTTGAGTCGGCGCTCAGCACTTGGGCTTGGGGCGTTGCTTGGCGAGATCGCTCTCAGTGTGAATCAACGTCATTGATGAATGTCGACGAAAAGAAGAGAAGAAAGAGGGGGAAGGGATGGAGGTGTGGGACGGTATGTGCGGAGGGTGTGAGCTGATTGTGGGGATGAGAGTGATGAAGTGGGTGAGGGTGTGGGGAGGAGCAAAAAAAATCAGTGAGATCCGAGAGGGTTTCGATCCCCCGACATTCAGCGTGTTAAGCTGACACTCTTCCAACTGAGTTATCGGATCAGGAAGATATTATGGAAAAAAAGTGAGATCCGAGAGGGTTTCGATCCCCCGACATTCAGCGTGTTAAGCTGACACTCTTCCAACTGAGTTATCGGATCCTGTTAGAGACGATGAAATTTTCAGTATTTATCTTGTTCATTGCTTTGCTCTGGATCGACTCTCCTCGCCGACCGCATCACACCGGCCACACGAGACGACCGGCCGTCGACGAGTGCATGTGTGGTCTACCCGTGCTGGTCGTGTAGGTTGTGCAGCTCGTTTTCCGGCACAGCAGCCAATCTGGGCTCTCATTGTCGGCGGCGGGAGGCGCCGAAGACAGGCAGACAGTGGCCCGAGATGGCTCGTGCGATCGAATCCGCGGCTTGTTGGCAAGGAGTCGAGCTCGGAGTTCCGAACTCTGCTGACTCCAGGCGGCTTGAACTCGGGGCTCTGCCTTGGTGCTGCAGTCAGCCGGCACCATCGGAGACGTGATCAACCGCTGCACGTCTGGTATCCATGAAGGATGCACGGCTAGGGTTTGCGGGAGGATGAAGTGATGCGGTTGAGACGGCTCAAGAGGACGATCCTGCGTACATACTACGGAGAGGGGGGGGGGGCGCGCTCAATCCACATGGGCATTGCATTGAATTACTCAGCAACCGCGTGAAGAACCATGCTACAGCGACGAGAGCTGGCAGGGCCGTCGGCAACTGACGCGATAGGGACGAGTGCGACCGCCTTGGAGCTGGTGCAATCGCTAAGTGCCGCATCGTCATCAAACGCCAAGTTGGTGGTGGCGGTGATGCTGAGCGCGTCAAAGTCGTGGACCGTAATCGTGTCGCTCCGCGCGTCGCGCCTCTGGACACGCGTCGAGGTGAAGCTCTGGATGGCGGCTTCGGCGGCCACGGCACGCTCGACGTCAAGGTCAGCGACCTCGCGCTCAAGCGACGACGCAATCCGCCGTGCGCGGTCGTCCAGCGCCGAGTACGCGTGCTTATTGGCGCGCGTGATCTGCCGCATGTCGGTCATGATGGCGTGGATGGCGTGGGTTCCTCTACGGCATCATGTGGTCCGTGACGTCGTACATTACCCGCTTTGCTCATCCCGTCACGAAAGACGTCGGCGACTACTGGCAGATCCTCATGAGTGTCGCGAGCCCGTCCGCCATTTTCACCACCGCCGCGTTCGGTGCTGCCACCGGTGTCGCGCCGGTGAGAACAGCTGCGACGGCAAACACTGCTTCCGCGACTCGTTCCTCATGCTCGCGGTTGCCTCCGCAGTCCTCCTGGCCGCCTCGCTCGCCCTCACCCTCATCAACACCGTGTTCCAGGAGCGTGACGACGGCAAGCGGCAAGCTCACTCGTAAACCAGATTTTGTCTTTATCCACAGAGGACGACGACGTCGACTCACCCGAGCTCGGATGCAGCACAGTCCACTCCGCCACCGCGGAACCGGCCGATGTCCCGCACACTCTCGGTTGCCGGCCGAGCGGTCGCTCCGCTGGCTCGACGGCTTGACATTTCCTCGCATTTACTGTGCTGGCCAAGATGGCCAGCACATCGTGCCGATTGGCACGGTGATCCACATGTACAAGAGCGCCGTTCGATAGCCCGCGTACACACGAGATCAAGGTGAGAATTGGGCGCTCAGAGGGCGCCCCGTCGTCGTCGTCGTCGTCGCGCATCGTCGATCGGAGAGCCGACTGTGTCGAGGCCATCAGAGCGAGGTGGCAGCCGCTTTGATTCGCTCCGCTGGCCGGGGCCGGTGGCGTACATGGCGCCGGAGCAGCTGCGCGGAGCCGAAGAGGGTTTCGAGGGAGGCATCTTCACCTTTGGCACGCTCCTCTACGAGATGCTCATGCGGGCGCCGGCGTTTGATGGCAGCAACGCCATGGAGATTGGCCGCCAGGTCCTCACCAGCAACGCTGCTAGTGCGATGGCGGGTGATTCATCAAGCGGTGTTGGTCGAACGATCCGCTGGTGAGGCCCATGGCGCAGGAGGCTGCAGATGTGCTGGCGGCGGCGAGGATGCGGGCGCGGTGCTGGGGGGAGTAAAGGCGGTGGGTGTTATGGGTAGCGGCGGAGGATGATGGGGGGCGGTTGGAGAATACGGTGAGGAGGCGGTTGGGGTCGGAGGGGTGGGGATGGAGAGGCCGGTGTGGTTGGCAATGGTGATGCAGATGGAGCTGTTGCGTGAGTGGGTGGGATGGAGCGGCGGGCGTGGAGCCAGAAGGAGGAAGGGTGGCGGGCGTGGAGGGTGTAGCCGGTGGGGAGGGGTGCCACTCGAACGTCTCGCCGGAGTATGAGTGGGAGACCAGGACCGGCAGCTGGCCATCCGCACTCGGCAGCGCAATCACACCCCGCACACTGTTGGTGTGGCCCTCCAGCACCTCACAGAATGCACTGTCCGCGGTGTACTGCATGGCTCCCGTCTCGTCGTCCGCAGCATGCCACACCCGGATCGTGTAGTCCCACGACCACGAGACCAGGACAGGCTGCTGGCCATCCGCACTCGGCAGCGCAATCACACCCTCCACACGGTTGACGTGGCCCTCCAGCACCTCACAGGAGGCACCGTCGGCGGCGTACCGCATGGCGCCCGTCCCGTTGTCCGCAGGATGCCACACCCGTCCCGTCTTGTCGCCTGACCACGAGACCAGGACAGGCAGCTGGCCATTCGCACTCGGCAGCGCAATCACCCCCCCCACACGGTTGACGTGGCCCTCCAGCACCTCACAGGAGGCACTGTCCGCGGTGTATCGCATGGCGCCCATCCCGTCGTCCGCAGCATGCCACACCCGGATCGTCTTGTCCTCCGACCACGAGACCAGGACAGGCAGCTGGCCATCCGCACTTGTCAGCGCAATCACACCCTTCACATACTTGGTGTGGCCCTCCAGCACCTCACAGGAGGCACTGTCCACGGTGTACCGCATGGCGCCCGTCCCGTCGTCCGCAGCATGCCACACCCGGATCGCGTTGTCTGTGTTCCGAAATCCACCAGACCACGAGACCAGGACAGGCAGCTGGCCATCCGCACTCGGCAGCGCAATCACACCCTGCACATACTTGGTGTGGCCCTCCAGCACCTCACAGGAGACACCGTCCGCGGTGTACCGAATGGCGCCCGTCCCGTCGTCCGCAGCATGCCACACCCGGATCGTGTTGTTCTTCGACCACGAGACCAGGACCGGCAGCTGGCC